CCCGTCCACCGAGTCGATTCGAGGGGCCGATGGCCGGGCGGCCGGAGCTGGCCGCGGCTCCGCGAGGGGCGCCGGGCCTGGTCGGCACCCAAGGCCCGGGCCAGGCCCCAACGCCGCCCGGCTTCTGGGACACGGATCTCGTTTCTCTCTGCTTGTCGCGCTTTCGCGGACGCCGGGGGTGGGGGGGCATTCGCAAGCTTGGGTGGCGGTCTCTCAAGAAATTTACCTCCTAAAGTTCCTGAACTTGCTTAGGGAGTGTCTTGACTTCTCTCCTGTCTCAGGCACAGAGTGACTCAGGAGAACGATGTAAATACATTCTTTTTTTTTCTTCTTTATATTTAACGTTAAAATTGTATCGTTGTTTGAAACCGTTTTCAATGAGAATCTATTCTGGTATGACTTGTTAAAAACAAGATTCTCTTCTCCAAGACAATTTCTAAACTAAAGATGTGAGACTGCCTCGTAGTTGGTCGTCACCTTGCGACATTGCCTCACACTGGCGAGAAAGAGAAATTTTTTTAAATGGCATACATTCCCTTTCTTGTTATGGTATTAAAACGTCTAGGACTTGTTTTTAATACACAAATAATTGAGTGGTAATACTTTTGTGAATACAGCAGAAGTGTGCTTCATTTACATATATGCAAGGATGGTACTTAAACCTTAGGAGCTTGAAAATTTGAAAATAAAAATTTGAAATGAATGTTATTATTAAAAAATATAATTAATTGTCCTATTCTTGCCATTTTCTATAAGTTTGAGCTTTTCCAAAATAAAAAGCTTGGAAAAAGAAATAAAGAGCAACTTAATGCTGTCTGGGCAAAAATGAAAATAAAAGCTATAGAGAACTGGTAAGTTATTTTGAAGATGTACAAATTCACAAAATTTAAAATGCTTTATAAATCATTAGTTTAGAAGAAAGTTTTATATTATCCACTTTATTTTTAATGCACTTTGTTCTTTAAAATATTGAAAAACTCTGATGCCCAACAGGGAGACATTGTACATTCAGCAACTTACATTTATAGGAAATTAATCGTATATTTATTTCTGAAAATTAGTACAGGAGGCTGTCATTAGTACAAGAGGCATAATTATATACACTTTTTTATGTGTCTGTTCAGCCCATTATTGGGTGAAACTAACGCCCATTTCAAACCATCCTTGTTACTGCAGTCTGTGTGTATGTAGATCTTCAGGGTGGCTAAAAAAACAAACAATTATTTTGAGGCTTCCTTCCTACAGAGATGGGAAGAGTCAGAATCTGCTGCCACCTTTTGTTGTGAGTGAAGGTCAAGTTTGAACATATCCACTGGGAATGCAGTGTAAGACCCAGATTGCTAGCACTTTGTTTTCAACGAGAAACTCACCGAGCAAGTTGAGATCTTTGCGCACCCATCCGGTGGATGGGCTAGGCTGTGGTTTCATAAAACCATAAAGCTTTTTAAGGGTGGAAAAAAAACCAGGTTGAGTTACTAGTATTCTCAACAAATAGAAATAAGAGCTACTAAATCAGAAGCGTGATGCTAGAAAAGTCGATTTGAAAATGCAAGTCAGAATTTTGACGTTGAAAGGACTAATAGCAAAGAAAGAACCATCCCAGAAAGTCCTGAGAAGAGACAGTGTATCTATTAAGAAAAAAGTAGACGTCTTGAATTTTTATGACACTGTGATGTGTAGTGTACAGGAATATTTGATTATTTTTGTGTCCTCCCGACTACCAAGTATTGGGTGGCTGATTTCTGTGCTGTGAGTACTTGGATAGTGATGGCTGGTTGTGATCAATTCAAGAGAAGAGTTCTCTTTACCAAATTAGTTACTTGAGATTTGTCAGCGTGGCATTAACACATACGGAGAAAACTGACATCCAGTTCATTAGCTCTTTGGGCTTCATTGCTTTCAAACCTGTGCTTTCATATACACAGAACTTGTGGGTGACTAATTCAGTTTCACTTACGTGAATTACAGCTTACTCCAGACTAAATACAATAGACGATCCTTATAGTATTACTTTATGTTAGAAATTGGTTTCTTAATATATAATGAGAAAAGGGCCCTGGCACAAAACAAAGGGCTATTTTGGAGGAGCTGAGCTAAGAGGACCCTCCAAGCATCCTTATCTTCAAGAGGAGATACTGTCAGTCAATAAAGAGCTATTCATTGAGCCCGAATCACAGAAAGCCCTCTTTTGGGGAAGACAGCTTGCGGGTATTTACAGTATAACCATGACAATAAAGGAATGGCTTTCATGGAAAGAAGGAAAAATGCCCAGAGCTTTTGTGTTTTATTTAGTCTTATACCCTGTCCTCTCCCAGTTGATCCTCTCACATTCCCCTGAAGAGGTTAGAGTGACTCCCCATTTTTACAGAGGGGGCGAGGGAAAGCAAGGTCGGCTGGAGGCAAAGACACTGGGCTTTATCCAGCTCCACTCTGAGTGAACCTCCCCACCTACAGTCTTCCTGGCTATCGGTTTTCTGCACACGTGGGCTTCCCACTAATCTCCTGGCAAGTTCATACCAGTCCAGGCGCCTTCCCTGGCAGAGAGGTTGGCATTCGCTTTGGCGTCAGGAGATGCACAGTTCCTGTGCATCCACCCCGAATAAACAGATGTCAGCTACTTCGGAGTGTGACGCAGTGCTGCTCCCTCACAGACCTCTCTGGGACCAGAAGGAGACCCTCCTCCCTTGAGGAACAGGACTGTTCTAGCTCCCCAGATATTAGAGGTTCCCAGCACGAACTCCCAAGCGTGGCAGTCTCCAGGGAGCCTTTTAAGAGCACAGGTTGCCAGCTGCGTCACCCCCTCCCCCCATGTCGAATCTGAATCGCTCAGGGAAGGGCTCAGAAATCTAAGTTAAAAAAACTTCCCCCGTGAATCTTGAATCTGCCAGACTGGCATTTGGGAGCCACTGAATGACAGTGATCACTTTGGGGTGGGGGAGGGGGAGGGGTGGCAGACAGTAGGCCTCACAGGGCACCTGCTTAACATCTAACCTGCCAGAGCCTTTGTCTGAACCCCTATTTTCCTTCCTGGTGAAATACCCTGGTGCCTGGCTTTTGGGAGGGTGACTATGGGGGTGTGATGGGAAGGAGTCTGGTGAGGTGGTAGTGCCAGGTGTGGGGGAGGGTCAGACTCACCCCAGGAAGAAGCCAGCCAGAGTGTTCTCTTCCTGTCTTGGCCTCCCGGCAGAAGCTCACCATAATAATTTGACTTACTGTACTCAGCCCCTGAGAGAGGTCGAAGCAGCCTTTCAGAGGAAATTGGAAATGTTTTGAGTTATGATTGAAGTAGACACACCCATTTATTCTACTTCAGGTTCAGAAGAGCCTCCTGATTTTTCTTGAAGATGAGATCATTTTGTTCTTTGCAGATCGATTGCAAGCTCTCTGGCCTCTCGGCAAAATCAGATCAGCCAGGAAGCAAGTGGCTGTTCTCCTTTGTATTTCCAGCAAGTTGTAGTTCGACCACGGAGCGAATTCCTTTGCAACTGATGAACAGTGATTTGTTGGGGGTGGATAAAGAGCATGGCCAGATGCCTAAGGAGTCCAGCTCATCCAAGGACTTCATTTTCCCCTCTAAAGAACAGTCTGTGTTTGGCTTATGCAAGAACTGAACATAACTTGTCCCCTGCTTTGTATAGTAGATTTGCCCTTTACGAGGGTAGAGTCAGTACACGGAAGCGGTGGCGGCGGCTGACGTTAGCCAGGGCCAGGAAGGCTTAGCTGCTTGATGCTTTGGGGGCTGGTTGTGAGTCAGAAAGCTTCATGCCACCCATGAGGCTTGATTAGCATTGTCCTCGTTTCTGGAATGACACACGGTTGCCTTATATAAACCACTCTACATGTTTATTATTTCTTATTGATGTTTTCAAAATATCTGATGTTCATCATCAAAAATAGGAAACCGTGCATAATCCAAACCTATCTTTCTCCTTCACATTTTTGCTGGTTTAATGTTGCTTTTAAATATTTAAGATACCTCATGCAGAAAAATTAGGAGCAGAAGACAAAGGCCTTGCTTGTTAGGAGCCTCTGAGGACTAGTGCTGATGAAGACTGAGGAAACCTCTGTCCTACCTGTCGGGTTCCCCAGCCCCTCCCCGCTCCCCGCTGCTGGTGAATCGAGTTCGTGCACCAGGACCCTCCTCTGTCTCAGCTCTCTCACTCACAGCTGGACTTGTGAAGCTTAGCTCCACATCCCCTCGTTTGGCATTGTGCGACTGTGTGAGAAGTCTGGTATTATTAAGTATTTGCATATTTCTGTGAAGATTTATTAGGAGAGGCGAGTGTAGCAGCTTTTCAAGAAACCAGAAAGCTTGCAAAAGTTTAATCAGAGTTCCTTTTGGAAGAAATGAACGTAATATTTTTTTGTCTGCCAAACAACATATTTATATGTATGTGCCAGGCACTGGCGGATGCATTTACAGATCATATCTCTTTAAATCCTCAAAGCTCTCTAAGATGGAAATACCAGATGCCTCTTCTCCATGAGAAAACAGACTTGGAGAGGGATGTGCCTGTCGGCCGTGACAGACAGACTTGCCCCCCATGGGCCTTCTCGAAAGTCTTTCATACTCAGAGCTTGCCAGGCATGGCCCTGGTAATGAACAGCCTGAGTCCATCTCTGTACAGCTGACCAGAAGTGTTGACTCATTTCCTGAGCTTAGGAGATGGTCCCAGGTCTTCACTCATTCAGCCCAACTGAAATGTACCGAGTGCCTGCTCTCTGCAGTCATTGTGTTAAGTGCCATACAGAGGACAGTTCTGCCTCCTTCGAGGCCATTCTCCACAAAGCATTTCCTCCATCTCTCAAGCTGGAGGCAGGCTGCCCCTGCTCTGGACTCCACATTACTTTAATTAGAGTCTTTGCTCAAAAAAGCGGCACTTTCTGCTTTGCCTTGAGGTCACGTCCCTATGGGCTGAGAGTTCCAGAATAAGAGTCTGTGTCTGTTTCATCTTTCCGCCTCTGAGTGCCTGGCAGGGTCTGCATGCTCAGTAAAAATCGAACGATTCTGTGTGAAGAGAGAGACATGGGGCTGGGCTCCGGACCGGACAGGCTGGCTAAGGAAAAGAGGCCCTTCCGTTGGTTCCCAAATACTGCAGTGTGGCCCTGGCCTCCCAGATGTCTCCCTGGGAGCTGGTTCCTTTTCATCACACTTCTGAATGGCCTTTTCTCCACAGAGGACTTTAGCATTGATTTCCTAAGTGATCCTTGTGGCTCTGGAGGAACTCTTAGTGACCCCACCAGTGACACAGCATCTTGGAGCAGACTAACCCACAGCTGCACAGAGAGCAGCCTTGAGCCTTGGCACTGTCTCCCACCATGTGGCTGACAGTGATAGCAGACACAGCAGAGTGAAGCTTCTTATCCACTGTCAACTCAGAAAAGCCCAGAATTGCAGATTCCTCATCAGGAGCCTGTAAACGGTGTGGCTCCCAGCACAGAGCTGTGGCCTGGTGACTGAGGCGAGGCTTTCCCTGGAAAATTCCATAGTATCCTGTCGAAGAACAAACATTTCCTATTTCAAAATAACTTTCTCCATGTTCATTAAAGTTATGTTCAGTTATTTTAAATTCTTGTTGGACAGTGAGTGAGTGGTCTAGAAACAATGGAGGGACAGGGACACACGTGTGTGCCCAAGAGAAGGCAGCCACTTCATTTTTTGAATGTTCCAGATTAAGTCCTACGGACCCTGAGCGTTGGCGTGGGACCAGCTCCCTTCTCTGACAGAACTGGGTTTTCTCCCTCCAGAGGCCCCAGGCTGGGCGCGCGTGGAGTTGGGGCTGTGGTGACTCACAATTGCACCGAGTGCCCTCACTGTCACTGCCCTGCCTCAGCCAGGGAGTGACTCAGCACCAGCGCTGGCTCCTGAGCCCGGAGCACACTTGAACTGAATGTTCCAGGTCTGAGCCTCAGTCCGTCTCGGCCGGGCAGAATGAAAGTGCCTTTTCTCCTGCTGCATTTTACCCCAGGAAGATGAAGGGTTTGGGGACATTAGCCGCAAGCAGTGTGGGTGCAGCAGGAACAGGGAAAGGGTTAACCTGTCCTTGCCTTGGCGTCAGGTTCTGTGATCTCAGATGAGTGACTCGCCCTCCTCGAGCCTCAGTCTCCCCTCCTGTAAAATGGGCTTGCAACAGTACCCATCCGGCAGGCTGTGAGGATCGTAGGGGTGGCACACGGAAGGCGGTGAGTCGGGGCCACGCTCACAGCTGCCACAGGGAGGTGGGAGGGGATTTGCAGGGAGGTGGTTGGCTTCCCCACGCAGTAGACATTTCTGGCTGGACTTTGGTCTTTTGGCCCCGAGCTAGGCCGGAAGTCTTGTTTCTCAGTGGCAAGCCGCCTCTTAATCCCCTCGGACCACGTTAGCTGACTTTCCTTCGACCAGTGTCAGGGCGCCCTCAGCACCCTTCCCTGGCGGTTCCTGTGCTGCTCGTGAGGGTGGGATGTAGTGGGGCAGTAACTCAGGGAAGCAGCATGGGGGTCACATAAAGGGGTTACATAGAGGTTGAGCCTTCTGGAGCCTCAGCCCCATCAGCCTGTAGATTGATCCCCGATCCCCCACCCGAGACAGATTAGCGATAGTGTTTGTTGCACTCTGCTGCTTGGGGCGCTGTGTGTACCCTCTGCCACAACTTCTTGAGGGGAGGGTCTCTCTCCCGTGTTGGCACAGGCCTGAGAACAGTGCCAGGCAAGAGTCGGTGTTGCAAGGAGACCGAGCCTTGTTAACCTGGGGCCAGCCACCTTCACTGCTGTCCTGGACCCAGCTCTAAGGGGCAGACATGTCACTGTGGGTAGAAGGAGAGGGGGGCGTTTCTAATTGTCACTGTCATCTTGGGGGGAGTGTAGGTATTGGGGGAGGAATGCTTTGAGCATATACCGAGGGTGGGAGGAGAGCCGGCCCTAGGCATTCTCCCCAAGGCTGGCGCCATCATTCAGAGGGGTCCTCCCGTTGCCTGAGCCTCAGTTGATGAACTAGAGATTTTTTCTTTAGGGAAATCGTGTTTTGAACAAAATGCATGTCTAGCGGAGCCCTGCACCCTGATAGCAACAGACACCTGTGTGGTTGGATTCTAGTGATTGAAAAGCCAAGCGATTGGCCAGTGTGTTCCACCTGAGCATGAGACAGGTCCTTGAGAAACTCATGGAAATGGATGGTGCGGAGGTCTCTTCATCTAACTTCAGACAGTTTGCTTCCCGCTGTGGAAACTTCGGGTGCTTGTCTGTCTGTGATTTGTAGCTTTAGATCGATTAAAGCAGGTGTCCCTATTTTTTTTTTTCCTAAAGAGGAAATAGGTAGTTCTTAATTTTTCTGTAGCCCTGAGTTCGGGAGCTGGGAGCCTGGCAACCAGGGTTCTTGACCTGGTTCTGCAGTAACTTCCTGTTGCCCTTGGGCCATATCTACGTGGAATCCTTGAGGAGGGCTCCAGCAGGTGGGGGACCGCGGAGACCGGTGCTGACACTGAGCCCGAGCACTCCCTCCAGCAGAGCAAAACCCAGCTGTGGGTGGTGGTGCTCAGCCTGGAGAACACTCCACGCCCCTGTGGGGGTGCACTGAAATGCTGGGGGGACACCAGCAGATACTTTGCTCCTAGGTAGATCCCCCTGCCCGAGGCTGGCTTGGCTTTTCTCCCTAGGTCTCAGGGTTGTGTGTGCAAGGAGCCACAGTCACTGAAAGCTGGGTGTGGAATCTTAGAGGTGAGTTCGTCCGCAGTGCAGTCCCCTTCAGAGCAGCCGGCTGGGGCCTGTCGGAGGGAGAAGGACGTTTAGGGCTCCAACCCATAAAGTTGCTTTGGGTTGTGTTTGCTTCCAGGTTGCAGAACTGTATATACAGTTCTCAGCAGAAAAAATAGCATCCTTCCTCATCAGTGCTCTTAAGACTCTCACGTAAAGGAGCTTCTCACACTTAACAGGCTCATTACCAACTTGTTGAGACCACCAAGGAACTAGGCTTTGTAAGCAATAGGTACAGCCAGCTTTGCTCAGAAAAGCTGGGTCCATCTGTAACTGTGGAATGAAGAAACGAGATTGTGCAGGGCATGGAGAGGCTCAGAGTTTACAAACATTTCCTTGTGCCGTATTTCACTTAAATCTTGTAAAAATTCCTGGGAGCTGTGGGGCTTTTTGCAGCTGGGGAAACTGAGTCTCAGTAGCAAGGAGTCCTTTCTGAAGGCACACAGCTGGTGAGCTGTAGGAACTGGAGACCAGGCTGACAGCTTGAGACCAGGCTCATGCTAGTTTGTGCTGCTCGTTGGACACAGCTGTAAAGAGAAGCAGTGTTGAGTTTCACGTTCTCAGAGTTTTCCCCAGTAGAAGCACATAGGGACATACTTCTCAGTCCTGGGATAAAATGCGTGTATTTTAATGATGGGCGTATCGGATAAAGCCTGCAGCCACCTGCGACCGGGTTGCTTGCGGAGTTTGTGGTCAGCACAGGCTCTTGTGGTACCAGGGGTGCTGCGAATGGACTTCGATGGATGTGGCCTGCGCTTACTTTTCAGAATTTGCCCAGTGTCCATTGTGTGCTCAAAACAGGGCTGGGGCGGTGGGAGAGACCCTTTATCACAATCCAATGGAACCGAAGGCATTTTGAGTTTGGCTGTGGACATGCAAATGGCTGTTCATATATCAAACTGGCAATAAAACTTAATTCATTTCTTTGATCTCCAATACCCACAGAAAGTTTTGGTAGGATGTTGACGCGCGACTGTCAATTTGCACTTGAGCAAGAAACTTGTCTTTCGTTTTGTTTCTTGCTAGATAGAAGTGAGCCAAGCCACTTACTTTGGTCCCGATCCCAGCTATATGGGGAGTTCCAGGATTCCCATTACCCTCCATCTTTTTGTTTGTTTGTTTTAGAACTTTCGAAGTGTCTTTAGTAAAAGCCAACACCTGACCAGTGGGGAGGCTTTTCCGGCCTAAAAACCCAGTTACTAGCCTCCGTGTCCTACTTCAGACTCTGGGGCTGTCGAGACTGTCTCCGGGGCAGCCCTCAGAGTTCCCTTTGTTGCGGTTACCCTTCGCTGAGACCGCACTGATGGGAACTGTGGGGTGTCAAGCCCACTGTTTTTAAGAGCCCTGTACCGTGGAGCTGATGTTGAGGGCTTTCAGTGGGTCCACTCGTAGGGTTCAGAGGCCACTCTGCCTACAGGGAATTGATTGTGGATGGGTCGAGGCACACCCTGCTCCCTGGCTATCCACAAAGCAGTTGTGCACATGTGACACCCCAGCTCGGTGGATGACATACACCTCGCAGGTGCCCCAAAACTGTTGTTCCCACCCGACCCTAAGGCACAGGAGTCCTCAGGGAGTCAGCAGCTTCCTCCTCTTCATTTGGTATGTGAAACTTCGGGGCACCGTGACTGCCAGAGATGTCTGTGGTTTAACGGAGTGTGCAGTGAAGCGTGGTCCTTTTTAGATTTCTGTGACATCAACTTTTCCTTGTTTTTCAGCTTTATGTAGATGTTTAGAGCTAGGAGGGACCTTAGAGATCGAGGCCTCGGAGACCGTCGGAGCTGGAAGGAACT